AACTAAAGTATACATCTAAAATGGTCATTCTTTACTGCGCAGGCCATAGTAAACCAGCAAAACGTGGGTTCCTGGGGGGGGGTTGCATACATATATATATATATACATACATATGTATATCTATTCTCTGTATCCCTGTACAAATCAAAGTATTATTAATGGTAAGCGGAGCAGCAAGATATGGGACAAGACCAGGGGGCCTCAGACTGTACAAATCTGTTTCTTTTTTTGCCTCCCTGGCCTCAGATCTGCTTCCGGGCTTCTCGCTCGTTATATTAATTGTAGTAGCAATCGTCATGGCAGCTGCTAGCAGTGAGTGTCACATTAGCAGCCATAGTAGTAGGACTAGTCAAGCGGCAATGATCATAGACACAGCAAAAGTCACAGTACTAAATTATCATAGTACATGCATAGCCTTAGTAACAGTCATAGTTAGAGAAGTGATCATATCACATCGTCACTGCCCTGCATCTGTGAACTTGCCGACATCCTGAGGCGATGCATTCGTTCGCATCACGGTGGGTTGCTGGCTTAGTTCTCTTTAAGACTGGAAGCACTTTGCCGGGGTTGCCTTCACTGGACGAGAATTTTCATAAATGAAAGTATTGGTGCAGTACTGGCCATCAGCGCTCATCCGACCTCAGAATCCTTTCGTTTTTCCATCCTTCTTGGCCCACCTTCCTTGGACGCTTGCAGGCATCCTACTCGCAGCTCTCTTGTGCCACGAGGGCTACGGGGAGGCCATCCAGTTGCCTTTGCTCCTGCAAGTTCAAGCTGAGCCGTTCCGGCTCCGTCTCCAAAGTTTCACACAGCTTCCATGAGATATGAGATGGAGCCGGAAATCACACTGCTATCGGCCAGATTTTACCCAGCGTGAAGTCCAAGCTGCTTGCAGCTTCTCACGAGCCCGTTTTCCTGCATTGTAAGCCTTGCTGAACAAGAGGCCGCTCAAGCCGAAGCGGGCATTGCTGCCGTCAGCGAGGATGTGGGTGCGTCTCTCTTCTGCTAGGTAGGGAATGTCCGAATGGGTTGGAGGGAATGTGCGACGGGATTATACAGGACATGTAGGAACTACTACAGGGATCTATCCCCTCATTCCCGGCTACGCAGCAGGTAGTTCTTGATGTGATAGGTTGACCATCATACAAATGTCAAGGTTAACACGAATCAACTGGCAGTACAAGCGGAGACAATGTACGTGGACTCGAGGCGCTACAGTTTGCAGCTTGATACCTCGGTGCCTCGTTTCCACCGGCATGCCGTGCAGTTTCAATCAATGTCCACTGCAGGCCTCTCTACAAGATTGAAACCATGACATGTGATGTCAGAGAAACTAGACTTGAAGCACTCCAGGAGATCGAGACCCTGAGCCTTGCTCAGTTGGCTACCAAGTTGACAGGTGACTCATGCGATCCACCATGGCTGTGAAGCACATAGCCTCAGTCCATGAGCGCTGGATGTCATTCTAGACTTGGCATCGGGCTCTGGAAGCTACTCGATGCCATCTCCTAGCTCAATACTCAGGGAAACTCCATCATGGGATGAGTACAGGATGGCTCCTAGACGATTCAGGGCAAAAGAGTAGTGTGAGGGGGTTTCGCTTGGCGGTTTGGAGCTGAGGCCCCTCGAGCCGGAGCTGGCAGATTTGCAGCGGGTCTTGATGGAGGCCTCACAGCACAACAAGTGCAGCTCAAACTTTGCTACTTACGCCTCTTCTGAAGGAAGACTGCTGGCTTTGGCTTTGTCGCTTGGCGGCTGTGCGCCGCTGGCCAGCTGCCGGAAAGCTTGGAGGGTCAATCTTGGCGTTGCAGGTAGCATCGTCCGGGCATGTGCAGACATTCCCTCTTGGCTGACTTGCGGTTTAGACCTCAATGGTGTGTGAACCTCTGGGTTTCCTCGCTAAATTAGAAGTAGTCTGTCGCTGACTTGGCCAAACACCCATCTTTTCTAAACCGATATGGTAAATGCAAAGCTTGGTCAAGTGACTAACGGCATACTTGACCCCATCCTAAAGGAAATCCCTACTCAATACTTCACGGTCGTCCCTGATAAGATATCATTATGCAGGGATTATTGAGGGATTCACTTAATTTTCCATGAGCACGAGTCCTTGCAAGCCTGAGGCCAGCAACTTTGCGCTCCTGATCATGCTGCGACTGGTGCTAGTCTCTGCCCTTTCGTTGTCGATGTTTTCTTTGGGGGGGCGCGGGTTGTCAAAGTTAAGGTCCCTTTTTGCGTCCCCATTTCAATATCGCTTATAGCACTGGCGTAACCCCAACGAGAGAATAATATTTGGACAGCTCAGCAGCCCAGCCCTCCAGGATATAGGTACTAGAATCAAAGCGGCTTTATTTCAGGATCGGCGATAATTGCGCCAATGAGGCCATTTAATAAGGAAGTCCCCTGATATACGTCCAATATACACAAACGCCTGCGACGGCCCCTGTAGTAAGAGGCCCTTAAACCAGGGTCTCATAAATGCTTGCAAACCGACATATGGTCAATGGCAAAAGCCCCTGAGAAAATTTCCACGGCTTACCCAAATTCTGTGTACTGCAGCAATCCTGAGCTCCTCTGCGCTCGTGCAGCTAGATGAGCAACATTTTCATGACACAGGAGACATGAGAAGCATTAAGCTGCCAAATTGGCCGCGTGATCTTTGTCCCGTGGGGCGTAGTCTTGCGCAGGCCCTCCATCTAAACCGTGAAGTTTGTACGAGTTGGCTGCATGGGCTAGGGATTTCGCAAAGGGTGTATAATCACTTAATTAGTCAAGGAATGCTGGTGGGCCTTACACTACTGGGGATCACGCCATTACACAAGGGAGGGTTACGTATCCCAAGAGGAAATAGCTGTCGATCCTTAGAAAGTGGCATATACCGTGCTCAGGTGCAGCCGACTCCCGGGACATTGATGGAAACGGCAGGAGCCCGGGTTGGCATCGGTTCTGTGTCAGTTTGAAGCTGAACTGAAGACCGTCTCAAACAGCACACGCGATCCTCTGGCCAAAGAGCGCATGCATTCTTGAGATCCCCAAATAACGCGCGTGCGCAACTTCCAATCTTTGAGGTCTTTGCTGGCTGAAGGGCTCGGTGTTCTCGCAACTTTCTGCTGCTGGCAAGGCTCAAGCCGAACAGGCTATATCAGGTATCGTAGGGAAACCCTCCGCTGGTGAGAGGTCAAACGAGGTCGGAGTGGCCAAGCAGCAAAAGCGTGGAAGATCTTAAAAGTATGAGCGAGGCCCCAAAGCGATAGCAGCAGCGGCCTGTGGTTTCAAGACCCGCTCGGGTAGGCACTCTAAGACATCCGAAGTGTGCTTGCTGAAGCCTTGAAAAGGATTGGTAGCTCAGACGCATCCTTCACGGTGGTCTGAGGCCTCTGTGAGGACGGAGGATGACATTTCTCCGATTTGGCCTTCTCCGCCTGGCCTTGGCAATAGTCACTTGCCAAAGCCTGCCATCCCAGGCCAGGCTGTGGCTCTGGGTTTCGCGGAGAATGCACTTTCATGATCCTTTGCAGGTGGCCTCTTTCAATATTCTAAGATATGCTAAGATCACCTCCGCAATGCAAACACCCAGTGCCACGAAGGTGTGTGACTGCCCTGTTAACATCCAGTGACTTGATTGCCCAAAGAGCCCACAAACCCAATTTGCAGGATGCTGATGCGGATGACTTCGCACTGCTAGCTCAACGCGCGCGTCAGGTCAAGAAGAAGGAACATGTGAGCATCAGACTGCACAGAGTCTGACATGACCCGTTTGGGGTGGTGCAAGTTAATAGCTGACGGCTAATGATCTAACGTATTGCCAGTGCTTGTGGGGGCCAAGCGTTCGCTGCATGCTAACCAAGGAAGATTCCTGCGATCGTTCACTTCAACTACAAGTTTAACTTATTCGATGCCTCTGAGGAACGGCTACAGGCTGAGCCTCTGCTCCGGATCCTGAAGAGGAACATCGAGCATACTGTGGAGTTGTTCGGAACAGATGTCCCCAAGGTGAACTTCTGGGATGACAAAAAATGTATCAGGGAGCTGAAAAAGCTAAAAAGGTTCAATGGTCACCAACTTGCCAAGGGCTTTGCGAGCCTGGTGCATGGCAAATACAAGTCGGATCTGTGCCGCCTAGCCCAGCTGTATAAATACGGTGGGTATTATTTCGACCTGGACATCCTTCCTGTGAAGTCCATGCGCAAATACCTGGATCCCGACACCACCTTTGCGTCGGTCCGGTCTATGTGCCACAAGGCTTGGCAGGGAGAAGCCAGAGAGAAATTACAGAGAACACTAGCAGTTCGAAATATACCGACCTAGCCCAACCATCACATGATCCCTATCACGCCCTGTATAGGCCCGTTTCCCATGTCAATGTTCCACGTTCTTGTTGATTTGATTCTCCATTCTTGGAATAGCCTAATTTCCCTGGGCCCTAAACCCCAAACCCAACCCTAAAGACGAAACTGGCCTAAACCCCAAACCCTCAACCGACACTGTGCCACAAGGAGATCTTCCAGGCCTTCCTGGCCGCAACCCCAAAGAACCCACTGATCGCTCTGAACTTGCCGCCTGCCAAATTCAGACACGCTTTGGGATATAGGGCGTATTCGGGTTCTGATGGATTCTCTAAGGGGCCCCTTTCAATGTATGAGCATGTATTGGAGTATCTCAGGCTTAAGGTTTCCAACGCTTCAAGTTGGGGTATATCAAACAGTTGCAGACGTGCGTCCCATGTGGTGTGCGCTCAGGAGATGTAAGCTAGGTTGCAAAAAAAGCGGGAAAACGCCAAGTGGTAATCAGGTTATCTTCTATAGTTTCTTTTCGCTGCAAATCTAAACAAAGAACTTGTGTTTCGTACTGTGCAAACCGAGCATGTAAGGAAGACCTTCGGCACGTGGCTTGCAACAAGGAAGAAGGGGCATGAGCCTGAAAACATCGGCCCACTCCTCATGCAACTCGGAGCAGTCGGAGTTTCACAAAGCAATCCCTTCGCAATATCTAGTGGGGACACCCAAAGTATATCATCCCCATATATCACCAGGTTAACGGGGCCCTACTGTAGGGGCACCAGTTTCGAGAAGCTCAAAGTCAGTGATTCCTTACACCAGCATTGGTTTAGACCCAGGTGGCGCAGCTTCCGGAAGACTGGCGCGAAATTCAAGAGGGCGCCCCAATTCTTTGTGGGCGACGAGAAAGTCCAGCTCTTCCAAGAGAACAGGATCAAAAAGTGGAAGCACGGGAAGGAGACGATCACAGGCCTGCTGGCGTAGAAATTGCTGGTTTTGGGTTTGAGGCTTCTGGGATGCGATGCCTTCACCCTGAGCTCCTGCCAGTCACAAACCAATTCCCCGCCTGTAATCAAGCTGGTGGTGCGAGCCAACTGTTGGTAGTGATATACCATAATATATTATAGTAGATTATAACATATTATAACATATTATAAGCAATTATAAAATGCTTTGGCAGAGGCCTGGAATTGTCGAGAGATCACTCGTCCATGGGTTCCAGTGAGGCTCTGAAGGATCCTGCATCTTACCGTCATCTTGGGAAGAAGCTTTTTGGCGGGGTTATGTAGGGGATATATTAGGGGTAATGGAAAAGAAATTGGGAACTAGTATTTGATAGTGTAATCTGGGATGTTACCCCGATAATGGAGAATCAAATGGAAAAGGAAATGGAAAATGAAATGGAAACTGTGATTATTGTGGGTAATAAACCATTTCACTTCGCCATCACTGTCAGCCAACTGCTCTTGTGTGCAAAGAGCGCCTGGGACGGAAGGAGGGAAGGAGGGAATGGACCCCTACAGCAGTCCCTACCTTGTCAATCTCGAGAATACTCCCCATAACCTTATAACCCATTCCCTGCTAGGCACCCTCTCTCCTGAACCCAAAATACTATCAAAAAGCTATGGTAGTTTCCATCTTCTCTTCAATTCTCCCACCCTACGAAATACAAGGGAGAAGAGTGATCCCCGCCAGGCCTGTTGTCCGGACATTCGAAGTGGACGCCTGCCTGCTGAGAGGTCGTACCATACCTCCCAAATACCCATGACGATGGCCTATGTGTGGTTAAAGGGTTATTGGTATAGGTATTTGGGAGATCTAGGTTGACAGTTCGGATTGTTGAGTTTGAGCTGTCGTGTATCTACATGAATGTGTGAATCATCATTATCACGGCTGAGTTGCTGAACCCTGCAGGCCTTAAAGCGTTGCCCTCGGGGCAACGGTGTACGTCCAAGATCCTGACACTAAAGTCCTGCCAGGAGCATCCAAACGGTCCCAAAACCTAGGAACAAATGCGCCGTGGAAGCCCCATCTGCTGATATGGCTTATAAAGCTTGGTCCACATGCCTGCAAAGCTCCCAGACCAAGGGGCGAGTGCAACATTGCTGTGGTGGATCAGAACACAGACGAAGTGGTGATGTACCCACGGGCGACTGCGCTTTAACGGGAACGGTTCAAGGTGGAAGGTTGATGTGTCGTTGAATGTTCCCCAAAGCTGTTTGAATCAGGTGATCTCCGCAAACAACGATGATGCCTGCGCAGAGGAAAAGAAGCTGATCATCCAGCACTTCCTCGAGAAATCCCACAGCGTGCTGGACTAGGAGATGCTATGCAGCTGCACGGCTGCAGGCCTCCGAGGCCCAGTGTTAAAGCTGTTGTCAAGCTCTGAGGGCTCAACAGTCTCTCCCTCAGCTTTTAATTTGCGCCAACGGCGGCTGAGTTGGCTAGACCAGTTTACTTATTTGCCTAGACGGCCTAGACGCAAGAGCCCCGAACATAGGGAGCGCGTCTTTTCCCGGAGTTGGCGAAGCCACTTCTCTGTTCATAGCAGGTCATGCTGTTGGCGACTTTGATCCCAGGGCCTCCAGGAAGCCATGCGCAGGGCGCAGGTGGTCGTCACTGCGGCTTTCAAGAGCAAGCCAGGGAAAGTCAACTGCAGGGGCCAAGAGATTTTGTAGCATTCCGCAAAATGGCCTCTTTCCTTGCTGGTTGTTGGTAGAGAGTGACGGAATGGAGAAGAATATGGAAGCTAACATTGGTATCATTGGGGATTACGTACGGACCCATTCCTCCATTCCCTAATAACAACCAGCAAGTTCCTGCAAGATGGCACATAGTCCTGTCAGTATCTGTCAGTCCATAATTCTATTATCTGCTGTTGTCTGAAGCACACAGCATCTGGCCAGCAGTCTCCGAAGGTCTGAAGACCTGCCAGTGTCTTCTCAGACTTCCCAAGTGCCCATACGAACAGCCAATATACCCATTGTTGTGGTGTCACCGTCTATTATTTGTCTTCTTGAGGTCTGAGACTTCAATTACTTATTCTTAAGATCCCTCTCAGCTCTACCTCGAGAAAGACCAAGCCCTGAAGCCCAGCTCAAAAGCAGGAGGTGTAGACAAGATGGATAGCATCCATGAGAATAGATGCGACTTGTAGCACGAGCTTTTTCATAGACTCTGTACCAGTTGGAGGACAGGCAGGGGGATCCAAGCAGTAGTGACCCATTCCCCCCTTCTCTACCAACCACACTAGACGTTGTACGCCATCTAGCAGTTTCCATGTTCTTTTCCATTTCCCCAATATTTGCTCTGGGCCTTAATGGGGTATGTCAAGGAAATGGCTGAGCCCGTAGTCAACTTACAGCCACCGCGTGCGACATCCCAATTTTGCAAACTGCGAGTCTGGGTGGGTTACTTCTTGGCTGTGCCTTCATGAAGTTCCTGGCTTCCTGTCAGAGATCTACTTCAACCTCGGGAATACTTATGATAGTGGCCTCTAACTTAACCCCCAAAATACTGGCACGTTGGCTGGTACTTGGGGTGCCGGATGTTCTCATCATATTCCTGGATCTCAGGGTTTGCCGAGGGCTTTCTGCCAGGACTCCACGACCTGCTCGTCTCAAAGCTGGTGGACCACTCTGTGCCACAGGCCTGCTGCTGTGCAGGTTTAAGATTTTGGGTGCAGGGCAATAACAGCATCACCCCCACCTACCAAAACCTTCAAGAACAGTTCTTTGATGTCTGGCCAGCACCGGGTCGATCTTATAGCGCAAGTTTTGGACTGGTCATGAAATCTCCCTCAGTGCTTAAACCTTATCAGAGCTTCTGTTGGACTGCACAAGCCAGCAGCAAAGATCATCACGTGAAGGAGAAGAAGACGTTTCGGCGACGACACCCTCAAAGATCATCACATGCCAAGTGCTTTAAGCTTGCATGCTCTGATATTCTTAAGTTGGCTTCAAAACAGATTCCAACTTGCTGGTCGGACTATCAGTGCTTGAGGTCACATCGTGCAAAGCCTGTTCTGTTTGTGGAGCTTGACTTCCTTTAGATGTGGAAGCAATACACATTGCTAGTGCACATCCGCGTCCAACGTTGATCCAGAGCGCCTGTGCATGGATTTGATGGGTGCGTTTGGGCTCCCTATTCAACTGCGACCTCAACCTGAAATGACGCCTCAAGCCCCAAGACAATGAGCATATACGCTACCTACTATTATCATCATGGGTGTGTCTAGGAAGAAAGCTGCTCACCAAGGGATCCATGATTCTGTTGAAGGCGGTTTCTCAAAAAAGTCTCCGCATAATCATTAGCTGAGACCTGCAGAATCCCCTGAAAATCCCTATTTGTCCCTTTGGGTCCCTAAGGGCCCCCATTTTGAAGAAACTCCCATATAACCTATTTTCTCCCAGATTCCATGTCATCTTCCATTTTCTTGTCCATGTGATTATCCATTATTCGGTTGACTTTCACTTTTCAGTCTTCGGGGAGAAGTAGCTCCTAAACCCTAAAGCTTGGATGCTGCCCCTGCGCATTGACAGCTGGATAGTATTCTTAATGCATGTATATAGAGCCCTTAATATGACCCGTATTATAGATTGTTACTGGCTGCGGGCAGGACCCAACCTAATTAAACCCTTAATTGCGCTCAGCCAGGCTCGACGTGGCCTCGCTGCACGGTGTCTCCTGGATGCTTATAGAGGAGGCTTTGCGCCGGCCATGGGTCCGGAGCTTTGATACGTTCTCCTAGAATTGCTACAGGCTTACCTGGGTCGACTACGTACCAAGTAAACCAATGTAGAAGCCTGAGTCATTATCAATAGAGTTCCCCAACAAGCTTCATGCGGGTAATGTACCCCAAAGCTTGCAATCACAAGTCTCCGCATACCTAAACTCTATATACCCCTGACGAAAAAAAAAGCCCTCATAAACCTTGTTGAAAGGGGATATGTCACTCCATTATGTGGCAGTTTACCAAAATAATCCTTATAGAATCCTTAGGGAGGGACACCTATACGTTTCTGATAAGCTATATATTGCTGGGATCCCCAGGGGCTCCTGTTTGTTTAATGAGAAGCCCTTAGCCTAGGTTCAGGGTTTAGTTTGGGCACTGCCCCCATTCACAAACAGCTGGATAATATCTATTTGTCATATAGATTTTAGATAGAGCCCTTGATATGACGCCTATTATAGACTGTTGATGGGTAGGAGCAGGACCCAAGATCCTAGCTTCCATTTCACTTCCCATGTTCTTTTCCATTTGATTCTCCATTATTGGGGATAACATCCCTAAACCACTAAGTAGTTTCCATGTTCTTTTCCATTATCCCTAAATGATACCCCTATATTATACTACATTACACTATCTTACCCCCACCCGCTCCCCAACCCTAGGACTTAGGTTGATTCAAGGTCGAGCTGACCCGGCGCTCCTAGGCAGGGCCTTGGCATCCTCAGCTGCGGAGGCATCTTTGGAGATCTGACACTGATGAGTTGCCTCTCTCATGACCGCGACCTAGAGTGACTAATGTACCCGTAAAAAGGTGGCTTTATATCTGACATTTCGGTATCTTCACATTTTGGGGGTGTAAGGTTACTCGAGGTGCCTGGTACCTACTGTTTCTGTCGAGTTCTCGTGTCTGCAGATAGCATCTGGACCGGGGGGCGTTGTCTGAAACCGTGCGCGCCAAGATTCATTGTCCGGTCTTGTTCAATCCTCCAGCTTTTGAACAAGATTTTCTTGTTGCCACACACAGCGTTACTTCACAGCCCATAAAACCATCCAAAACCACTAAAGCCCTGAAACCCTAAACGTATCGGAAAGGCGCAGGCTCAGCAAGAGGCTACTCTGCAGAGCGTGGCAGCAGGCAGGCTGAAAAGGGTAAGGGGTGCTACCTGGACGTTTTGCATAAAGCTGTGGTATTTTGTTCTATGTAGGGTGTAGGTGTAGGGGTGCAATTTACTGATTATCTACACCCAAGAAAGAAATCCTCGCTACAGGGACCAACCCCACAAAGAGACCCTATTCTTTTTGGAAGCCCAGACCTGGGAGCGTTTTGCACTGCAATTCTTCCGCTGCAAGCCGCAAGGTGCGGAAGAAGCACTCCGCCGACATGAAATTGTGGCCAGCTCAGCCTGCCGCTTCAAACAGAGAAAACGAGCTCGCTTCAGTCTTTCCCTTGAGGACATCTCTATACCAGTTGAGGTTTCAACGCTTGAGGAGTTCCTCAGCCAAGCACACGACAGCGCGCTTCTCAGAAACTTGGTTCATTGGTGAGCTGGCTTGCTACGCCCGAAGGATGAGAGAGAAAGTTTCTTTGCGTACAGCGCAGGCGCGTCGAGGCTTGGAGTGGAGGCACTGGGCTTTGACCAGCTCTCCATGCCATGTACAAGTTACTAAAGCGGTGTGTTGATTCAAGGCTTTGTTAACTTTGACCAGAAACAAGAGCTCGCGAGATTGTAATCATTTGCGCCAAGAGCTGCCTGTGCAACCCGGAAGTTCCAAATCAATAATAATCATAGGACTATATTGCCAATCAACTATCCGTTAGCTTTATCTGCCAATTGATCAGAATCTCCTCCCTTCAATCCCCCTTACCGTCTTGTAGCATATGTGGCGCAATTCAAAAGAATTTGTTGACAGCCTTTATGCATTGAACCGAAGGATTTCAAAGACTCACTGCTCGTTGCTTGACAGTCTCAGCTTGAGGCGGACGCTTGGCGTGGCTGTTTGCATCACGCCTGGGCCAATCGCCCAGAAATTTGAGCGGCAAACAGCAAAGTGCTTCTTCGTAGGCCTCCCATGTACGCATAACTCTGATCTACACGAAAAGCCTTTCGGGGCATAGGGCGATTTTGTTTGTATTTGGGAGATCTCGTTTCGTCAAAGTTTACTTACAACGCTGCATCACTGGGAGTGGCCAAGGCCTGCCCTAATCTCTACCTCCCAAATATCCAAATACCTACAACTTGATAACAACCCCCAGCAACTCCCAAAAAATGGAATACAGATACAAAAATACGGGCATTTAGGATGTCTATGAGTTGCTAAGTAAAGGCCCTGTCCCAGAAGGGGTCAGAAACCATTTCAGAAGTTAAGCGCCTTTTTCTGAGGAGGCCGCCACAAGTGCGGAGACAGGACGGCAAAGCGCCAGCGAGGACCACGCCTTCAACTTTTCTGTTTGGCTCATATAGGCTTGAGACCCGCTGTTATCCTCATTCATTAGCCGGCATGTCGATGAGAAGACAGCGGGGTTTGTCTACGGAGAAGTTGTGCAGTAAGCAGAGGTGCTGCCTTGGGTTCAGAAGTGATTGCTTGCCCCGCCAGTGTTTGGGTTTCGCGGGTGAGGCATCATCTTATGTTCCACTCGATTTCTCTTTTCGTGAAGACTTGGTTTTGGAAGAGATTGTAAGCTGCTGTTCCGCGCCAGGCGCTGTCTGTCTTCTGCTCTGAACTGGAGGGAGCCTGTGCCGCGCTCAGCATGCAAAACGACTAGAAACTCCGCGCACTGCGCCTACAAGTGTACAGGGTGATATAAGGATGTAGCATGTAGATTCCTACATCACCCATACAAGAAGACCCTGCATCATTTGTTCTGGCAAGCCGTGTCGATCAAGCCGCAACCAAAGTAGCCTCATCCGGTTGCAGGTGCCCAGCTTCCTGCTGACCATTTAGCTGGCGCAGTGCTCAACTTGCAAGTGTTTGAGGGAATGACAGGGCGGATCCCTATCATCACCCCAGAAGCGGCCAGGGCGCAAGGTGCCTTCTGCTCTTTTTTACGGGCTATTATTGTCGAAAACTGCCCGAAGAAGGTCCCAACTGTAAACGAACATGTACATTGGCAACAGCATGAGGCGATGGTGGCACAGGAGGACCCGAGGCTGCAGTTACTGGCAGTTGAGTGCAGGGCAGGGCTGGCATGCATGTTCTTACGAGTGCTTAAGGGGCAGTGCGGGGAAGAATATCCCCTAAAGATTACCTAGATACACTCCACCAATCTCCCTTGAAAACCAGTATGTCTTGGGAACATGATGGGTTCAAATTCACGCTGTAAAACCAGACCAGATTCCCGGTTGGCGTCAGGCTTTGCGTTGGGAGCTGCAGCATCGCGAGGTGGGGAATGCAAGTCCCAAGTTGAGACAATATAGTTGTCATGTATAGATGCGCAGGTATAGACATTGTACATACATGTATACATGTGTACACATATGTGTAAGTACATACATACATACATTACATTCGTGAAGGAGCACAGGTATATGCAAGGCATGAATTAGCTGCATGCGGAATCGCAGTTTTTTGAGGGAAGTGAAAATGTCATCATTGACCAGGCGGAGCTCATTGCTGAGCCACTTCTTGGTGAAGGCCCGTTGTATGTGAAAGGTAGGGAGAATCCGAAGTTACAACCACAAATCTCCTATAGACTCTAGTCTAATAATTGCCGCTATAGATAGCACAAGTGTCTGCTGTTATGCCTACTGCGCAATAGGATTGTCCCAATAGGATAGTCCCTAGAACCCGTTAAATGAGAGCAGTTTCCATTCCTCTTTGCATGTTTGGTAGTATCCCTAGACCCTATGTAACCCTGTATGACCCCAAATAGCCCCGAAAACCCATATAGCCGATCTTGCCAAAGTCCTAATTCTGGCATCAACATCAAAGCGAAGTCTCATGGTAGAGCTCGACCGTGCTGTGATTCTGGCATGCGTGTAACTCATAGACTGTCGAACATGACATGCAATATGTCGTGTACAAGGATAGTATAAACTGCGTCACATTTATATATGCTACCCCCCCCATGTACCCAC